AATTAATTAAATAATTTATCAATTTCACGCAATATTAAATGAGCAATATAAATATTTCCGATTTTTTTTTCTGCGGAAATTACATACAGACCACCTTAAATTGCTATTTACAAATAAATGAGCCGCTTTGACGTCTATTCATACTTTTCATTTTATCGAATTCGCAATAGTTTGATCGTGACACACTTAAATACATCGGTTCAAAGGTTAGAAAAAAAACTCAATGATGCTTAATTTGTAAATATTGATATTTCTTGTGGTTTGTATGTAATCATCCAATTTTGTTCTTTATTTTATTTCTTTTTTACTCCTCTAAAATATATAACAAAATGAATTTAGGCATTTTTCATTAACAATTTTACGTTGGACTTAATTTAAATGTTGCTATATAGAACCTATTTTAATTTTTCAATTTTGGATTTAATAAATATGAATTCATAGAATTTGCAAAAAAAAAAAAAATAAATAAATAAAAATTCACTCTTTAATGCATTCATTTCTGACACCAAGTTGTTATAAGTGCGAATACCAAAGTTTGTGTTAGATATGTAAATACATAAGAATTGTGTGGTATGTAAGTAAATTTCTTAAATTTTGTTATATTTATAATTTTGGTTGCACTAAAATATTTTTATATAAAGAAGGCCGGGTCTTGTCCATCACATAGAAATTCAAACTATAATTGTTCACATGTAATTGTAATGATGATAATATGATTAACATGTCAAAAAGTTTGTTGTTCACGAACAGTTTGTGCTCAGATTTTGTGTTCAAATCATTCATTGAGCAAGCGGGTTGAACATAAAAATACCGTTTTTTTTAATCTTGTTCGACTTATTCATGTTCGGCTCATCTTAGCTCAAAATAATAAAAAAAGTTATATATGTTATTTATATAATAATATATTATATATATTTATATTTAATTTTATATCTCTATAGCTCTCGTGATTCTCTATCTTTTATTACATAAGACTAATGGAGATTCAAATTTAACATTTTTATATTTATTTTTTTAAATTAAATTAAATTAAATTAATTAATTTTGAGTTCAACACAAATAAAAATATATAAATTGAGCCGAACACCCTATTTATATTTGCATAACCCTCACCTGGATTCTCTTCAGGTTTGCTGCTCATTATCCCAGTGAAGAGTAAGTCTTTCTCCATGTAATTTGAAGACCCACGTCTTGTTTTTTTGCGGTACACGCATGTTCTTATATCATTGCACCAACCTCCACCCTATATCATTAATAAATTTTAAATAAGCAACCATAAAATCTTATATTTTTTATATAAATGACAAAATAATCCCTAGGCCCTTTATATTGGGGCTGAAAGAGTCTGCAATGAGAACTATTAGAACTCACTTTTTAAATAATTGATAACTATTTTAATAATTCTATAAATTTTGTGAGTATATGTTCCCCATGTAAATAGTTAGACTACCTTTGCACTTTACTCCTACACCTTAAGATAAAATTTCAAATTCTAAAGAACATTCTAATCAAATTATAATGAGCTAAGTCCTTTCACCTCTAAATTGACGAGCCAACTATTTGCTCCTGCTCCAAACCCTCGATCCAAATGATAACCTGGCAAGCTTCCATCCAAACATACTGCATATATATAAAAAAAAAATATTAATAAATAAATTATTTTTTAAAATATGCAGCCAAAAATCTATATAAATAAAAAATTTTCGCATGAAGAATAAGAGAATTAGAGAGCAATTAAATTCATTTTAATTAAATATCATCGCATACGAAGGCTTCTCAAATAAACGTAAAAAGTACTAAAATGATTTCATGAGAAATTATATAACAAAATACATGCTGTTTATAATACATCACATAACATATATAAAATGCAGAAATTTTCCAATTAAATTTAATAAAAAAAAAAGAAAAGGAAACCAGAATCATACCAGCTCCCGTTGCTGCAGCAGATTGAATAAGAGTAAGCGGCACCTGTGCAGGGGCGCTTTGACCCACAGAGCTATAATTAAAACAGAGTACCTTTCTCCATAAAATTATCAAAATAACCCCAAATATCCAAAAAATTTTCATGAGGCCTCCTCCGCTCTCTCTCTCTTTCTCTCTTCTCCTTCACCCTCTTTTGCATGCTAATGAAGAGCCGAATTGGCACCAAATTGCAGAAGATTGGCCTCGACCAAAATAAGGAAGAAGTAATGATTAATGCGCATTTAACGTACATTTAATTTTTTTTTAACTAATTTACCGCCAGCTAATTAAGATGATGGAAGGCTGATTATCATATGGATTTCAAATCTTAAAGCATATAATTATTTGAATTAAAAATTGAGATGCACAAAAATACAAAAGATTTTGCGTCGGATTAGACGGCACGGAGAAAATAGTTTGACCTTAAACTCTTTATTTTTTTTATTAAAAAAATTAAAAATTAGGTGGCCACAATAAATTACTAACGAGCAGAATTAGAAGATATGAAGTTATAGATTCATGAATTCACCCACAATTTTCGACCTCTTTTTTATTTTATTATTATTTATTATTATCTATTTTTTTTGGCGCAATTGATTTTTCCAATTTTATATATATATATATATATATATGTATGTATATATATATATGTATGTATGTATAAAAGAATTGGATGGTATGTATTAAAAGCAATAAAAAATAAGAAATTATATTAATTAGTAATTAAATTCAGCATAATGCACTTTAATTTGACGCGATTTTTTCTTACTCTGAGAATCGGTACCCATTAATAATTGTGTGGGGGCTCTAAATTTGAAGGTCTTGCCAAAATAGTCAAGATTAATAGCTGGCTTGCCATTTGTTTGAGCCTTTTTGTTTTATTATTGGAAGACTTACATACATACCACTCGAGTCCCATGCATTTACATGTCTAATGCCTGTACCTCAATTTTTAAACTATGCACAAAAAAGTATATTTTATTTTTTAAATGTTAAAATAGTGATACTTGTTATGTAATATGAAAATTTTGAGTGGTATAAATATAAAAGTCAAAGTGGATGAGTTATATAGATAAATGTAAGACTTGGGTGGCATGTATGTAAAATATTTATGATGATTAAAAAAATTAATAATTATAATTTTATAGTAAAATCTCATGTACATAAATTTACAAGATTTTAGAAGATACATGAAAAATTTTACAAGAAAAATTGGAAAAAAAAAAAAAAAAAAAAAGAGAAAAAGGAAAAAAAAAAATAAAGTAAAAAAGAGAAAGAAAGTAAGATTGTAGATGTTTAAGTAATATTCACTTGGAAAACTGGATGTATATTTATAATTTTTTTTAGTGAAATTTTAATAATCTGAGCCTAAATGCTTCTGGACACTCCATCTTATGACTTGAGGATTCCTTCATGTTCATGGACTGTTTTTAAAGGTAATTAGGTGCTAATGACTTTGATACTGATTAATATTGGTTTAGATTTCTTTTCTCTTTGGGCTGGGAAGATGAGATTATCAAATTATGTTAAGATCATGACTGTTTTGAGATAAAAAAAGACAGCTATAACTATATACATATATATATATATATATATATTGAAAAGACAGTTTTGCGTGCTAGAAGATTCGCGATTTATAGAGTCCCGATTGTAATTAATGAAGGAAAATGAACAGCTTTGATCGGACGAATAAAAGAGCCTCCCTTGATTAGACAACATTCGGTGGATATTTCGATGTCTTGACGATGTTGAAATTGAGCGTTCTTGGGCTTGTTAAATGCTTGTCGAGACGCTCGATTTAAGCATAAACTCACTAGAAACGAACAACTTTGATCGGACGAATAAAAGAGCCTCCCTTGATCAGACGACATTCGGTGGATATTTGGGTGTTTTGACGATGTTGAAATTGAGCGATCTTGAGCTTGTTAAATGTCTTGTCGAGACGCTCGATTTAAGCATAAACTCACTAGATTTAACATTCGTTTTACTATTCAAATATGCCTGAGGAGCTTTTATAAGAGATTTAATGGTTGATCTGAGCTTCAATTGACTCAAATTAGAGCAATTTTAGTATTATTGGGTTCATCTAATCAAATTAACCAGTTTGGTTGTATGTTTGTTGAAATCAGACTTACGAATTACTTTTTT